ATCCTAGCAATATAGAGGTGATCCCTTCCCCTGCGTTTTGTTTTTCGTCTCCAATCTTCTGAAGACGACTTGTGACCTGCGTAACCCTAAACAGGCTAATCCTAATCGTTCGTCCGTTTAATAAAGATTTGTACAGTTTTCCCACAGTTTCCATTGACTACTATTCCTTCGAGTTATAATCCTTTTAACAATAATAAATAATAAAAATAATAAATTATGAGAAAAGCTGTATTGGAAATGCAGTGTAACGAAAGCAGAGATTAAAACATTTTTGATTCTAGATAAACACTTTTTCGTCGATGGGAATTCTGAAAGTGACGTTATAGAAGATCAATAGAAGCAAGCGTTTATAGTCAGTAGTTACAGGGGTATATAGCAACGTCTCTAAATCCCTCATAGACTACGTTCGACGAAGATGGATTTCCTGGAAAGGGGAAAAAACAGTATTTAGATAGTTAATTATGAGCAGAGATATAACCGATGCACTATTATAAAACTGAAACCCTTTGAGGGTAAAGCGAATGAAAAGAACTGGTTTTCGCGTGGACGAGTTCATCTCCAAAGTACAGACACTGGCTCCCGCGAAACCATCGAAGCGGCGATTAAGGCTAGCAGCCAAAAGGATCGATGGGACGGAATGGAGAAACAACTTAACGGAGGGAAAAGACTCGCGGGTATATTTAGAGGCGGAACACTTCAAAGGGACAGGGTTCAGTGCCGCTTAGGGCTCATTCAGATGAACCAACATGCATTGACATATTTCAAGAACGGACCATCCCTTTCAGATTTAATGTAATGTAAATATCAGTGGAAGTGCAAACACTTGCCGGTTAGCCAATTAATTGGCCCAGGCTTGCAAAGAAAGGGAAGGATGAAAAAATCAAATGTTTCCATGAATCAGACCTCTCCGAATAATTTAATACAAACAATTCAATTAAACAAGCAGCCACTGACAAGAGCTTTCGTTCCTGAACGTTCTTTCTGAAAGGATACCTCCTGATATATTATTTCAAGCCGACATACTTCGACTATGTTATCCTCGACGAAACAAATTAATTGGTTAATTGGAAAGGAGCAAGAATTCTTTTACAGTGATATTTAACGAAAGAATAATCGTCTTCCGAGCTTTCAAACTGTTTACATCGATTTATACCGTGCAAGAGGCAACGTTAGAATTGTGTTATGAATTTATAAAAAATTTCACTTGTCAAGTGGTTTAAACTGAATTTCCTATCACGGTACATTTAGTGCGCAACAATGGGTTCGCATTTTTTCCCTTCCTATTTTCACTGCATCGTTCCTTTGTTTGGAAAAATAAAGCTTTACTAAAACACCTACACAGCAACGGGGATACTCTGAACCACTCAGCTCTTAGCTTTAACGCGCATTGTGCTCGGCCGCAAAAAAGACAGAGGTTAGCAACAAAAGGCAAAAGAAGGAAGCATAAGAGAAGCCGAAAACCGTTTTACTGAATACATTAAGAAACTCTCGTTGTGGTTTATGGCACATGAATCAACGATTGGACGACCACAGGGATAGTGTGAGGTAAATAGGAAAAAGTTCCACGGTGCATGACGTGTCGTCAACCTGAGTACTATTTTCAGCTTCGTGGCTCGTATCCATTTCTTCGCTTAAATGCCACTTTTGGTCCCTAAGCATCGTTCAGATCTGCTACTCGCGAAGAGAGATCGCTGTCTGGAAAAAAGATTGCTCTTGATAAACATCCTTTAAATATAAACCACATCGGTGCAGCTAAATAATGGTACACACTTGGCCAGCTTATCGACCTCGCTAGCAAAATCGATGCGAATTAAGCTATTCTAGGAAGTAAATTATGTAATGCAAAATTGACGTAGGGAAACTCGTTACCGCGCGACAACATGTTCGCTATAAATAAATATCAAATTGCAGCTATGTAAATTGCAATTATACATTTACAAGCAGATATCAAGCTATATCGACCGTGTGAAATAATGTATTAGAAGATATTAACAATAAAACTGTTAATTATTAGAAATTATCAAAAAGAGAAAAACAAAGGTGTAGGTTAGGATCATTTTTGTGGATCAATTAGACATGTGTCAGTATTCACTGATTTTTTTACTGATATATAATATGTATGCTAGTATATGAAGTATGCTAACAATAAATCTGTTAATTATTAGAAATTATTAAACAGAGAAAAACAAAGGTGTAGGATGAGATCACTTTTGTGGATCAATTAGCCATGTATCAGTATTCACTGATTTTTTACTGGTATATAATATTATATATAATATCCTAGTATATGAAGTATACTAACAATAAAACTGTTAATTATTAGAAATTATCAAAAAGAGAAAAACAAAAGTGTAGGATAGTACCACTTTTGTGGATTAATTAGTCATGTATCAGTATTCACTGATTTTTTACTGGTATATAATATTATATATAATATCCTAGTATATGAAGTATACTAACAATATAACTGTTAATTATCAAAAAGAGAAAAAAAAGAAGTGTAGGATAGGACCACTTTTGTGGATCAATTAGTCATGTATTAGTATTCACTAATTTTTTTACTGGTATATAATGTTATATATAATATCCTAGTATATGAAGTATACTAACAATAAAACTGTTAATTATTAGAAATTATCAAAAAGAGAAAAACAAAAGTGTAGGTTAAGATCACTTTTGTGGATCAATTAGTCATGTGTCAGTATTCATTGATTTTTTTACTGATATATGATATGTATGCTAGTATATGAAATATTCTAACAATAAAACTGTTAATTATTAGAAATCATCAAGAGTAGAAAAACAGAAGTATAGGATAGGACCACCTTTGTGGATCACTTAGTCATGTATCAGTATTCACTGATTTTTTACTGGTATATAATCAGTACCCTAGTATACGAAGTATACTAATAATAAAAACTGCTAATTATTAGAAATTATCAAAAAGAGAAAAACAGAGGTGCAATATGAGACCACTTTTGTGGATCAATTAGTCATGTATCAGTATTCACTGATTTTTTACTGGTACATAATTAGTATACTAGTATATGAAGTATACATAAATCCTTTTTGTAGAATAATGTACAAGAATGTTAAAAATGATCAAAATTTGGATTACTTTACTGTGAGAAATTATCCAAACAACATCCTGATGTGGAGCAATTAGACATATATAATTGGGCATATGCATGCGCAATGTATTAGGGGGATTAATACTAAGCCGTGTTGGGTTTTTGAATAAAATTAATCTTTCTGATGGGTTTAACCCATATTCAAATATTAGAACGTATAAATTGGTACATTTTCTTATCTATGTTTATAAATAATATTTTATCTACGGTGTAATTTGATAAAAAAAAATATATGCTGAAGTAAACTAAAGAATCACTTCATTACTTTTAACTTCTTTGTGTGAATATATTTCCAACTGAATTTGTTCAATTTTTCAGAATTTTTCGATAAAAAAAGAAAAAATTTCAGTAAATATGGATTACTTTATACTTAATCTATACCCTATACTATTACTTTATGCTAGAAATAAATTTAATTATGAAAATGTTACGCGACACTATTTAAAAATTTTAAGTGTAGAGGATTTGTTTTAAATGACGTGCTTACACTCGCGATAATTGTAAATTATCACAATTTTTAAAATTATCGCACAGTGCAACAGAGAATATAGTTATCACATACTATTTATACGCATGGTTTATAGTTACGATAACAGTTCCAAACGTACCACGCATGCAAATGTAATGTAGTGTGAGGTAATTTTCGAGGAGTGGTTTATTTGATGAGTACGTGGGAAATTCTGGCTTTAATGCTTATTGCATCGATTTATAGTAAATTGCGGGGTATAAGCGATGACACAGCTATCGAAACGGGGATGTGTCCGACTTGGGTGGTCCTCCTAGGACCTGGAGCAGTACGACCACCTAGATAACTGGGACGTTAGTAACGTCCTAGTAGTACGGGTCAACGGATGGACTAGGCCCAAGGGGAAGCGGACCCGAGCCCATGAATTGCTCGTGCTCTGTATCGTGAGTTTACGAAGTGTCTACTATTCTTGACTAGGCAAACATCACATCTATGACTACGGAACTTACCTTCATTTTTGAAACTACATTTAAATCTAAATATATTTCTGCGTCATATTATATACTGCAAAATATTGTATCTATCCTATTATGAAACTCACTGTGATTGGCAAATGAGCCATTCACTGCACAAATTGATTAACTCCATAAAACAAAAAGTGGGGAAATGCAATGAAATAATGTATATTGTTTTTTAAAATTCCCTTTATAATTTAAATCGAAATAAATATCGTAGAATGCATAAATACAAATGTAACTTTCATCTAACGGTATATAAAATTTATAAGAAAAAATAGCCAAAAGGTAATCGTTAGTAATGTTACCATTTTTATGTTACTGGAAGAGTTAATCGATTTGGCAAGTGAGAAAAGTAATAAATTTAAATTTTACTAAATTTTACTTAAATTCTGATAAGACGGCACTAAAAAATTCACCGTTATCATTCATGGCTCGCTAGTGCATTCGAGTTGCATTATTGCAACGATTTACATTAGAGTACGGAGTTAATCAAAGCGACCTGTGAAATACATTATTTATTATTCAGTGGCCAAAAAATTTTGGTCGTTTAACGGTGTTAATTTTAATTATCGGGGAAAGTTATTATAAATATAAAAAGTTATGACTATACCAAGTGCTTTGACACTTAAATTTAAGATTTTTCAAAAAGTGGAGTTAATCGATTTGTGCAATGAACGGCACAAATATTACCTCAAGTAAATTGCAATTCAGCGAAGAATACTGGTAGATACTTGAGATAATATACGATTAAATTGTTGCTCCAATTTTGAATACAATTTTCAAAATAGTTTCGAACTGTCTTGCAAGATTATCTTCTTAGCTGAGCATTAATTTTCACAAACACTCGTTACGAAAATTATTGTACAAAGTAAGTAGTACACTTACCTTGCTGCACGGATGAGGCCAACAGCTTGTTCGAGTAACTTGGATCGCAGTAGTTTTTGGATCTTCTTCATCGCATCAACTCTGAAAACAAAAAAGCAACCAAGAAGGTGTAATGAAATCACTGCGTGAAAATTCAATTTACCGATGTTGTCGAAATCTAATAAAGCAACTTCAACATACTTTTGATCATCTATAGGTACGTCCAACGTTGCGTCGAATGGTACTACTTCCGGTATCGTTCCTTCCTTCATTACAACAGACAGTTGGGGACTAATTTCGTCCCAACGTTCCTCTAGACTTCGAGCTGGTAGTTGCTCTTTCTGCGCAGTTTCTGTTTACATTCGACGTTAAATAGCACGTTCTCGCTTAAGCCTAACAGGAAAATAATATTTAGTATATTTACTTTTCTTCCTTGTACCACCCTTTTGTCGTTTACGCTTCACTTCTTGGACCATAATATTGCGAGTATTTCTTCCGCAATAATTACTCAACAATTTCAGGAAAACGTGTACCGTTGTAACCAGATCGATCAAATACTGTCTGAAAAATCATTAACACTGAATTTTATCGAGTTAAGGCAGTACTTAACGATTGAGAGAGATATAAATTATGAAAAATTTTAACAGAAAATTTGAATTTAATAATTTAATAAATCATTAATAATACTATTATAATAATATTATAATACCTTTAGAAATGATCTAAAAATTAATTTTCTATTTTAAATAGAGTACTTTAAATGATAAAAAATGAACAGAAATATACTGTGCGTCCCACAGATTTCTATACTTCATTAATATACTCTAGGACTAAAAATAATGCAAAAATGATGTATAAACAAGTTTGTCATAAGCATTATGAAAATGTTATGAAAATATTATTGGCAGGTACAGAAAATGACAAATACTTAATATAATACAGGGGAAAATTATGTTTGCATTATGCGTCCATACAAGCTACGTTTAATGAATTACTGACATAATTTGTCGAGTAAATTTAACTGTACGTTGATGTTCGCAATAAAAGTAGTAATTTTCCGAAAATATGAAGATATAAAATAATATCATGATACTATTGAATTATTTCAGTAAACCAATTGCTTTGTCAATTCAGTAACTATACTTAATTTAGTAAATTAATATAAAACACAAATATCTATCTATCATTGACTTGTATTAACATTAAATGTAAAAATAATATGTCCTGATCTTCTTTATATTACATATTTTTATTACCCTATTTGATAAAGAATTTATTTCACATTTTTAATATTCCATTACACATATTTTTATTTATTATCCGCAAAATAAATTTTATACGGAAATCTATGGGACGCTGTATTATACACCTGTACATACAAATTCCTTGTCATAGTAGGATATATGCACGCTAAAAAAAAAAGAAACATTATTGAAAAAAATATGTATGTAACAAACATATTAATCAATCAAAAGTGTCATAAATCAATTGTGCTATCTAATCGAAATAAATTTTCTCTGAACAAAATTGTCACAAACTTTAATTCCAAGGATCCACATATCCACAATCACTAGCTGTCGAATATCGAACGAAGAATTTTTGCCATTACATCCCAATTTGCAATAAATTTGAAACGCAACTGAGGAATATTTATTGACATTCCTCTTAACCCCTTACACTACGATATAATTATGAAAAATTAAACAATTTTTACAAAATTACACAAAACAAAAATTATAGTATTTAAGTTTAATTAACGGATTATACCTTTACTTCATCCATGTGAAAAATAGGTAAAAATTTTAGAAATTCCTTGAATTTTGTGCTTGTCAAAATATATTAAATATAACTATAGTCATGTGATAAATTTAGCTTATAATCGTGAGATTTTACATGTAGAACTCGTGACAAGTTAGACTCGATATTGTAATACAAGGGGTTAAGCATTAAATTTACAAACATTGCATTTATAGCTTTCTGGAAATTGAAAAATTGTTACATATATTAACCCTTTGTACTCGACAATTTTTTGGTTATAGAAGAGTAGAAAATCAAACATTCTCTACTAAAAAACTGTCTGTTACTGGTTCGACAAAACAAAAAATAAAGGAAGCGCGACGCCATTGTGACAAATTTTTATGAACGGAAAAGTACTTTAAGTATAATGAGGGTGCAAAAGTATAATAGACGCTCCTGACTTCAGACGAGAAAAAATTCGTGACAAATTTCGTAAAATTATTGTTGATATTTCGACACACAATCCGTGAAGGAACAAAAGACGAAATTTTACGAGCAATTAGCGAGGAATGATATCGATCGAGATTGGAAAATTAATTTATTATTATAAACTCGACGTATGATTTTAATAAATTTTTCAACGTTGTTGTTAACCCTTTGCACTCGAGAGGTGATTTTCAGTCGCCATTTCATAAAATTTGGAAGATCGATATTAATTAATATATCAAATTTAATGTAATGTAACAGTGTGCGAGGTATAGAAATCAAATAATTCTATAATTCTATTATTATACAATTCTTTATTTACTGCCCAAAAAGGATCGTCAAATTTTTAGTAAAGAATCTTTGAATTTCTACTCTTCTCTAGCCAAGAAATCGTCGAGTGCAAAGAGTTAGGTTAGGTTATCCACGATGTCCTAATATTTATATGACCTGAAAATGATCTATTTCTCCGTTTCCTTTCCATTATTCAAACAATCGTATACAGGTAGCCCTCCTACAACACGGTTTCACTATAACACGATTCATAAATTGCGGGAACCCTTCTACAGCACGGCATCCTATAACACGGTTTTGCTCTAACACGTTAAGAAAATTGCGAAAAACTTTGTGCAACACTGTATTTCTATATGAGCAATGACGACGAAGAAATTTATTAAATTAAAGTTGCGTTAAATTAAAATAACGTTTTTGTTTTTGTTTTGTTTTGTGTTGTACATACGTTTATATTTTTATTGAAAATTAAGTTGTATACGTAGAATTAAAAAAAAAATTTATTTTCAGTAAGTTTTCGAAACGTAACCCCCCTTTTGTACTGGCTCTGTGTGTCATACAACACGATTTCACATAACACAGCATTTTCTAGGAACTTATCTACCGTGTTATAAGAGGATCACCTATATATCAAACAAAATGCTTTCGCATTTTTGTTATCTAAAAGCTACACTTCATCGTAGCACGATGTATCTTTTAAGCCGTTTGTATATTCGGTTGAAATATAGAATATAAAGATAAAATCTATACCGCTGTCCGAATATTTTTGTGACCGGCTGTATCAAAACAATGAAATATCCGACTGCTCCGGCAATTACGTTTGCAGTCCAATAAAATCCCTATACGGGACGTGATCTCGAACAAAACAATAGCCGTGACGAAATTAATACAGTTCTGTCGTGTGTACAGTTTGCAAGTGGTAACATCAGCAACGAAGTTTGCTGCAGCCGTCAACTCTCGTTTTCGTCACCGTCACTAAGATGTCAGAGAAACGACGGTATCGCGGTGCGGCGCCCCGACCTTACATTTCCGTAGTGGAAATCCTTGGAAAACCCGTCAAACTCGCGAAAAGTTGAACGGCCGTCGCCTTTTCCCATTTCGCCAGCCGAAAGGTCGATAAAAGTTGTTTATTCCAGGAAGAAGCGCAAAAGAAAAGAGGAGGGCCAAGGCGAGAGCTGAGGGAGAACGCGATGGGAGGAGGCGCAGTCGAAAAGAAACAAGGAAGTAGGAGCAGGAGTAGCTCCTTCGTTGTTCGAGCCGATTGATTTGAAAGTGAATCAATCTGTCTGCAGTAGATAAAACTTTTAGCAAACAGTTTTTCATTTTCTACTCTTATCCACTCGATGAACAGATGCTCGGAGCATGAAATGGCTAGGCCAACGAAACGTTTCGAGATTACATCGTCATGGGATAATTAAACTTCTTGGAAGACAAACTGATGATACTTGACTTAGAACATTGAACATTTGCAATGACTTTCTTCGAGTCTTTCTTCGAACAGAAGTATGATCTCGAAAATCGTTAAATATATTATATTATAATATACAGGTAGCCCTCCTACAACGCGGCATCCTATAACACGGTTTCACTATAACACGATTTATAAATTGCGAGAACCCCCTACAACACGGTTTCGCTCTAAGAAAATACAATAAGAAAATTGCAAAAACTTTCGTACAACACTACTTCTACATGAGCAGTGACGACGAAGAAATTGATTAAATTAAAGTTACGTTAAATTATAATAATATTTTTGCTTCTTACTTGTTTTGTGTTGCACATACATTTATATTTTTAATAAAAATTAAGTTGTTCATGTAGAATTAGAAAAGAAATTTGTTTTTAATAAGTTTTTGGAACGTAACCCCCCTTCTTGTACTGGCTCTGGGTCTCATACAACACGGTTTCACAAAACACGGAATTCTAGGAATTCTAGGAACCTATCTACCATGTTATAGGAGGGTTACCTATATTATATTATATAATTGTTAAATATAAATCATATAAGATGGTTCATACGCTTGTTAAATAATTTCTGAAAAAATTATAGGTATGTATATGTATAAGTAGAGGTATAATATTATAGGTATGTATTGTATAAAACATTTTTTATGGGAGAGCTGCATAGTTTGATGAGGCACATCATATGGTGCATAGTCTCTTTTTATAGATTTCTTTTATTTTGAAAATGTCAAGATTAATCTTCCTTTTTAAAATTACAGACTAATTTAAGATAACAAGAGAGATAAGGTAATTAAGAGATACATCATATGGTGTATAATCTCTTTTCATAAATTTCCTTTATTTTGAAAATGTCAAGATTAATCTTCCTTTTTAAAATTACAGACTAATTTAAGATAACAAAAGAGATAAGGTAATTAAGAGATACATCATATGGTGTATAATCTCTTTTTATAAATTTCCTTTATTTTAAAAATGTCAAAATTAATCTTCCTTTTCAAAATTATAGACTAATTTAAGATAACAAGAAAGATAAGGTAATTAAGAGATACATCATATGGTGTATAATCTCTTTTCATAAATTTCCTTTATTTTGAAAATGTCGAGATTAATCTTCCTTTTTAAAATTATAAACTAATTTAAAATATAATTATTATAAACTGATTTAAAAAATCCACTCATTTATAATGTGTCTCTCTGAACCATGTAACTTTGACTAATCAACAAAAATGTTATATAACACATACTTCAGAAATTATTCAGAATTGCAAATTGTATGGACCACTCTGTATATACAATAATTTTTGAAAGCATATTTTGCATAATTTTTAAACTCCTACCATACTACAATTTTTTTTTTATATTTTTATAACATGTTTAAAAGTTCACAGTTCTGAGTAAAATTTGACAATACAAACCTGATTACTGTCTGTGATAATAGTATTTATAACTTTGTTATATATCATTAATATTATCTATAATTCTATCATTATTGAAGCACGCTGGATGATTATCTAGAAAGTGACTGAAAAATTTCGTTAATTTTGATCAAACACAGATTTTCCTTATTTCATGATAAGAAAAGACTCCATATTATTACACATAGCATTAAACATTATATCGCATTATACAATATCATTTATACAAACCGAGACATTTTAACCTCATCGAAGGCGAGAAGCTGAGAAAGAATCGTTTCCCGATATTCCGGAACATAAAACACGTTACTCTTAATAACCTTACTGGATTCCCTAACTCCACGATCTGCACTTTGATCCATTGCCATTAAAGTATACAGAAGTTCCTATAACAACAAGAAAGAAGGAAAGATATTTCCTTCCATTCATCAAATTAATGAAAACAAATATTAACACTCGAGTTGCTCACCTGGTACGCCTTTAATCCCAAATGTAATCTACGAGACCAAACAGGAATTTTCTTTTTGTCGGTAACTATCATCTCGTTATAAAACTCCATTTGTCTTTGCACCAAATGAAATATTTCCGTGGATATTGTTTCGCTGTTAATGCACACCTCGTTATTATTATACAAATAGAGGATTAAAGACAATATCGATCGCATTTTTATTTCCAAGCAATTAAACTTAGTCGATCGTTACCCAAAATAGTACATGAGATATGCAACTTCGATTACATTCCGAAATATAAACTTGAAATAATACGAAAAACTCGTAAACAGAACTCGAACTCGAATTCGAACGATGAATGTTCAGCGTTCTTTGGCGCGAAAATTTAAATCCTGTCAACGCGTGTTGCTCGAAGCGGAGCACGTAGAGCGCCTGCGCGGAAGGTTATAGGTTATGTTCCGCGAGGACGAGAATCTAAGGAGAGCGATGATGCGTAAAACGAGTTCGAGAACTCTGTTTCCTTTCTTCAACCTTTACTCCCCTGATGAGGTACCTGCTTCTTTTATTATCCTTTTTTGTCAGGAAATAAGAGAGCCACAGCGACTTACCTCACATATTTTACGTCGAACTTGTAATGGCGATTGAAATCCATGAAGAAGCGCAGAGACCATAGATAGCAAGTTGCTTCAGATTGTTCGCCCTGTGCTGCGGCAATCATACAGGACCTCGCGTATTTCATTACGGGGTTATAAGCAGCGTTCAAGAATTCCATGCAAAATTCTTTCAGGAATAGCCTTACGCTCAATGCAGAGGTGCGTTCATTCCTTGGATCTGACATGGGACGCTTGTTCTTTGGTTTCGAAACTTTTTTCTGTCACGCATTGGAATTTGAAAATTATAATATTTCGTGTTATAAATAATATGCGATACAAATGGGAATTGATATTGCGCGATCAATATTGCCGATTTGATATTTCGTTGCTGTAATTAACACGTTAAGTGCCACGCTGGTCCTCAGGGACCGGCCCAGACTAGGACCAAAAGGTGCTAACTTTTGGTGTTAAATTCTTCGCCATCTTTGGACCTAACGTTTGGGAATTCCTATTATAACAATTGGTACAGTATCTCCGAGTTTTATAAACACTTCGCCAGCCACCGGTGGCTCACTTGATGAACGAGTCCGGGCCTGAACGGAACAGCAAACAAAACGGACTGGGCACTTAACGCGTTAATTGAATGAGATTATGTACATCGTTTAAGGATTGTCAAATTTTTAACTGCATTAGGAAACAATTTTTATGGTATAGTCTGATTCAAATTTCATCCGATGGCAACGTCTTTCCCGTGAAGAAGGGTTTAATGGAAGAATAGTTGAAGCATAATCAAAAATTGTGGAATACATAAGTACTCGACATCATAGTCGCAATAATAATGCAGTCAGAGTATAATAGTATGCTGATCTCCTTTTCAAGTATCTCAAGGATCCACAGGACCTCACAGAATTACTATTATAATAATTACATACAATTAATAGAATTATTATATGTATATAGAATCCTGATAGTAAGAGTTTAATTATTTTTTAACAAATAATCTCTAAAAAAAAGAAAAGAAAAATATTATGACAGGAAGTTATAACAAAAATGAATATTACTCAGTCAGGTTTATCAGCCCCTATTACTTTACCAATTACTGATTAAATATCTCCATTTACACATTAATTTATACCACTTATCCCTAATATACAGAGACTCCCTAAACTATAATTCGTTCCAAAAAATTTTTCAAATGAAACTCACCCTGTTTCAAAGTTATGAAGACATGATTTAAACAGCACTGAATAAATTTGTACGACCTTCAAAGAACAAAGTATTACAGGTCAATGAATTCACCTTGAAATACACTATCCACGTATATAAGAAAAGAAGAAAAAAAATACAATTCTATTTAAAAAAAAAAAAAAAAACGAAGATTCCCTTGAAATCTTAGAAGTACCTCCACTTAGCATAAATTTATAACCATTATAAGATGTCCACCTTGAAACAGGTTAAGTTTCATTTGAAACATTTTTTGAAACGAACTATAATTTAAAAAATAATTTCCTTTTCCTATAACATCTCTTTCCTTTGTCACAGGAAAGTGCCACTCTAAGACGGAATGATAATGACGTAACGTTTTGCAAATTTTTTACAGAGAATTAACTACACACGACGCAACTTCGTTCGGATATATCTTGTTCTTCCTTCTTCCTTCGTTTTCGCGTAAGAGATTCGCGAAAATGTGAAAAAGGAAGCAGAGGAATGAACAAAGGGAAACGGATGGAATTGCATAAAAATTATGGCAAAAGTCACTGATCACCCCGATTGAGATAGCCGTCAGGCATGTGACCCAGTGGATTTATGACAGTCCATGATGAAACGAGCTACGAAGAAGCAAGCTAGGAAAAGTTTGTCGTCAAATACGGATGTTCCACGAAGGAAACGGTAATAAGGATGTAAGGGGGGGAAAGGATCGTTTTATAGTGGAGCAGGACACAAGAGACAGGGGAAAAGGAGGAGAAATGTCCGCGAAAAGAGCACTGACCCAGTTTTAAATGCTTCAGCACCATTAAGCAAGGAGCCAGTTCTAATTACGCGAGGATAGCCTTAATTAACAACCGTATTTTCATTCAAATCCACCCAGCCTCCTTTCCTACTTACTCATTAACTAGAACTACCGTTGGAAACCAAAGATTAATTGAATGGACCGTTTCGCAGTTTGACGTTTTCTTTCCATCGTTTGAAAATGAAAAGGGAAGAGACGAGCTAAAATCCCAGTGAAATTGTTTCGTGTTTGTATCAATCAGTAATTGCAGTCCGTTACCTTATCCTGGCTGAAGTTCAACGCCTCGACTTTCTGATACGGCTTGTGACACAGCAGCTGATTCTCTCCAATGGCTTTCATATTTTGCACGACGTAAGTTCCACCGAAATGAGAATGTCTAAAAATGTAGTTCAATTTTGAACAATTTCATAGAAAATGATTACGTGTTTGCATAACACGTCTGACTGCTACGATTAAAATTAAACAGATTATTTTGGGCAAAATATTATCTGTTTTTGAAATATTTTATGGATACTTAACTTTCGTTGCTCTTTCCTTCTTTATTTGTTTTTAGTTTATCTATGAGAATTTTATACATTTATTGGCGAATATAAAATATATTTTTGAATGCATATGGATAGACAAAGGAGCAAATAAATCCGCGAACAGTAAGAAATATACATCACATCTAGACATACAGTAAAAATCGCATTAAAGTTTTTACTCGCGAATCACGTAAAAATAAACTTACACGTGAAATAAAATCTTTTGAAAAATCTTTTACTTTAACACCACTGCGTTTGCTATTTCATATAGATTCTCCATACTGGGTATTCATAAATCCGAAAAAGTTATCGAGATGATGTCTAAATTTGATATTTCACTCGTATAAATCTACGTTCCACAGGTAGATTTTGCCAGCAAAAGTGGCAATATATTTTATGAATAAAAATGAGAGAAAATTATTAAGTTTGCAAATACTGAGTTATAAAATTACAACAAAAAATATAAAATAATAATAAACTGATATCTCATTTGATACAATAATTAACAAAAATTACCATCAACGATGATTGATACACACAAAAATTGAGTTTTCAAGATCACAAGGATTTTTATACATGAGAAACCATAAAAAAGAAAAATTTACCAGACAAAAATTAATATATGTCACGGAATAACAAAAAAAAAAAGAAAATAGTAATATATTTACTGAAATGAAGAAAAGTAAAAAATTCACAAAATAATAAGTACTATTTCTATATTCAAATTTACATAGTTAGTAAATTTCAGAAATAATTGAAAGAAATCACAATAATAGAAGAAACCATACCACGTCATAACAGGTATTATATATATAAGCTATTTATTTGTTTATTCATTTAAATTTCTTTATATATATTTATTTTTCTTTTATTAGTATTTATTACTAATTAAAATAATCGTTATGTGAACTAATTTATTTGTTAATTCATTTAAATTTCTTTATATATATTATTTTTATTATTATTTATATATATTATTTTATTATTTATATATATAAAGAAATTTAAATAAATAAACAAATAAATTAGCTCACATAACGATTATTTTAATTAGTAATAAATACTAATAAAAGAAAAAATGCTATATCACAATATGCTTTGAAACTGTATCGAACGAAAAACCAGTCTATTATTATTTCATATTATCGGTGAAAATTTGTGTTAAAATATGAACATGCAGACACCATATAGCGAAAAAATTTGGAAAACATCGTGTATCTGTTGCTAAATAACATACAACGTTATTGAAAATGTAAAATATGCCTGAAAACTTTTATACTAATACTCACTTCAAGCAGAAAAGCTAATAAGTAAACGTGAACCAATTACTCAAATTCCATTTCATATATACCTCCTGGAAATTTAATCAATGAAGTAGAAGGAAGCTGTCACTAGCAGATAGTTTGTTAAACGAGGAAGATGCATTTCATTTCTATCATACTTATTTGCTCGAGTAAATCGTCTTGAATTTTCAGCTTGCATCATTTTGAAGCAGTACAATCGTTATTTTAAATACGTTTAAATACAATCAATATAATCAGAAATTTAATTCGATATAATTATATGAAAGAAAGTAATTATGATTGAAATATTTTGAAAAAATTGAGATTTTTCAAAATTGACGAGTAATTACAATATTTAAATTTTATAAAATTTCAAACTAACAATATTTGTTAAAATTGTATATATTCGTGATGTATGCTATAATTGTACTATATTGGCAATTTCATTCTTGAAATGTTGGATGTTACATCCTATTCTGGACTATGCTACGCTATCACTTCCGATAGCGTTGTTCACCGACCAATTCATAGGGTGTGAGAGAAAAGATCGATCTCTTTACAGCCTTTGATTCCTTTTCAAGTTGCAAAAAGCTTTCTACGGGAAATAGAGGCACGTAGCAAAAAGATGTGAATAATGCACGACACAAGAATAAAACACGCGCACTTCCCAACAAGTGGATAAAAGCTTCCATTCAAGCAGGGCGTGGGCTTATTTTAAAAACTGGGTCACGTTTATTACACATGTAGCACTATTATCATAAGAATAAATTATGCTGCTTTAGAAATCACTCAAGTAGTGTAACCATTTATTTACCCTATTCTATCCTTTATTTATTTATTTATTTATCTTATTCTATAGAATAAAGAGTGGTGTACTTCTATTACACATTAGAATAGCATGCCAAGTTTACTATAAATATGTAATACTATTGTCATAGAATTAAACTGCACTTCACTAAATTGTCCCTCAGAAGGTGCAATCATTTATTTAGTCTAGTGTATTTATATCTATAGGATACATATGTGATATATTTTATAATAAATTAAAATAAATTATCATGTTTATAACATACATATGTAGATACTATCATCATAAAAATAAATTGCACTTCTCTACACATGCCTCACAGGTATTGTAATCATTTACTTGTCCTGTTCTGTTAATATCTATATGGTATGTTTGTGATGAAATTTTATAACAAATTAAAATAATTTGTCACTGAATATAAACAAATATCTGCCACAATATATCAAATATAGGTCTGTGTTAAATGTGTCATTAGAATTAAATAATAAATACTAATAAAAGAAAAAATGCTATATCACAATATGCTTTGAAACTGTATCGAACGAAAAACCAGTCTATTAATATTTCATATTATCGGTGAAAATTTGTGTTAAAATATGAACATGCAGACACCATATAGCGAAAAAATTTGGAAAACATCGTGTATCTGTTGCTAAATAACATACAACGTTATTGAAAATGTAAAATATGCCTGAAAACTTTTATACTAATACTCACTTCAAGCAGAAAAGCTAATAAGTAAACGTGAACCAATTACTCAAATTCCATTTCATATATACCTCCTGGAAATTTAATCAATGAAGTAGAAGGAAGCTGTCACTAGCAGATAGTTTGTTAAACGAGGAAGATGCATTTCATTTCTATCATACTTATTTGCTCGAGTAAATCGTCTTGAATTTTCAGCTTGCATCATTTTGAAGCAGTACAATCGTTATTTTAAATACGTTTAAATACAATCAATATAATCAGAAATTTAATTCGATATAATTATATGAAAGAAAGTAATTATGATTGAAATATTTTGAAAAAATTGAGATTTTTCAAAATTGACGAGTAATTACAATATTTAAATTTTATAAAATTTCAAACTAACAATATTTGTTAAAATTGTATATATTCGTGATGTATGCTATAATTGTACTATATTGGCAATTTCATTCTTGAAATGTTGGATGTTACATCCTATTCTGGACTATGCTACGCTATCACTTCCGATAGCGTTGTTCACCGACCAATTCATAGGGTGTGAGAGAAAAGATCGATCTCTTTACAGCCTTTGATTCCTTTTCAAGTTGCAAAAAGCTTTCTACGGGAAATAGAGGCACGTAGCAAAAAGATGTGAATAATGCACGACACAAGAATAAAACACGCGCACTTCCCAACAAGTGGATAAAAGCTTCCATTCAAGCAGGGCGTGGGCTTATTTTAAAAACTGGGTCACGTTTATTACACATGTAGCACTATTATCATAAGAATAAATTATGCTGCTTTAGAAATCACTCAAGTAGTGTAACCATTTATTTACCCTATTCTATCCTTTATTTATTTATTTATTTATCTTATTCTATAGAATAAAGAGTGGTGTACTTCTATTACACATTAGAATAGCATGCCAAGTTTACTATAAATATGTAATACTATTGTCATAGAATTAAACTGCACTTCACTAAATTGTCCCTCAGAAGGTGCAATCATTTATTTAGTCTAGTGTATTTATATCTATAGGATACATATGTGATATATTTTATAATAAATTAAAATAAATTATCATGTTTATAACATACATATGTAGATACTATCATCATAAAAATAAATTGCACTTCTCTACACATGCCTCACAGGTATTGTAATCATTTACTTGTCCTGTTCTGTTAATATCTATATGGTATGTTTGTGATGAAATTTTATAACAAATTAAAATAATTTGTCACTGAATATAAACAAATATCTGCCACAATATATCAAATATAGGTCTGTGTTAAATGTGTCATTAGAATTAAATGCAAATTTTTAATACAGATAACTGTAATGTGAATAAACTACTGTAATAAAAGCTGATACGTATACACTACATTATTTCTATAGTAATAAAGAGTGTGCAAAAGTATTTATAATATCCCTTATTCTACACAATACTAACTTACTCTGTTTATGCTATTTATTATACAGAGTATACATTTTTTGAGTTTTAAATAATTCAGAATATTAATTGAAATGGTTTTAGATAAGCTAATATTTGCGGAACAGACAAAACCGATGGCCCAAATATTTAAAATATGGGAAACTGCAATATGCCATTTTTGTAAATTGCTAATTAAAAAAGTTCAAAATTATTAATAAATTAGAGAAATATTTGTACACATATGTTTTAATCCTAAATATAATTTGCTTTCTAAAAAAACTATATACATGTTCTAACAATGTATATATAAGAATTCAATATATAAAGAGTGAAATGTGTTTTTACTGCGCATAAATTTAGAGAAATAGAAGAAAATTAATAAAAAGTAAAAAAATAAATTGGCTAAACTTACCTTGCACCTGCATACTTTCTTATTTTCTCCGTCTTCCTTTCTTTCTCTTTGAGACGAGCAGATAAAAGTGTTGCTTCATCCTTTTCTTTTTCAGTTACACTACGTTGCAAACCAGATTTTGCTAACTGACTTGCATTTTGATCGCGAAGCATTAACGATACAATCTAACGACGTAATTTAATATAAATTGATATAGTGAATTTAAAATATGAGTGATTATTAAGAAGCAAATTATTTCAGTGGATAAATAATATAACAAAATATGTTAAACATTATAACAAAGTTTGTTAAGCATTATAACAAAATTTTAATGCAATCTCATTTGTCACATACCTCTAAAACTTGCAAATGATACTGTTGTTCGCTTCTGTTACTAGCAATAAAGAGTAACAAATCAACAACCCCTGATGCATTAAGCGCAAATAAAACCTAATAAACACAGCATATACAAACATGCATTCTTATGTAACAGAATATTACATTCAATGTCATACCTCATCATGAATTGTGACATCATTATCAACACGATTCTCATTTTCGTCAGGAGGAATTTGTAAGACATTTCGAATAAAAATAAGAATTCTTTCAATAATCATTTCTTTTTCTTCCCCCCTTTCTGCAGTCTCCTATAGAAACAAAGAAGTAATGTAGATTCTTTGTTTCTATATATGCATATAATATATATGAATGTAAACAACTTACTAGTTTAAGAATTTTACTTAAGCGATTACTTAATACTGCCCATATACGATCATCGGTTAATGCTACTTTATATGCTTGTGTATATGCAACCAGTTTTTGATATATAGCGTATTCTGATCTTTCATTAGGAATCTGCTCATTGTAAATGATCAAAACTGGGCTTGTTATATTAATAACTAACCTAATTAAATGAATAATAGTTATTATAACATTAAAAAAAAATATATAGAATGTTATTAAATATATTTTAAGTTATTTATCGCTTGCCTTAGCAATACATCCCAAAGTTCAAGTTTGTCAGAATGATCAATGAAAATTTTTACAAGATCAGTTTGTAGTAATTTTGTTTGACCAAGAAACTGACGCACAACATGAGAGTCATTGTCTCTTCTCAAGTACTTAATAAGATCCTTTATAACATCTGTTATTAATAAATGAATAATCTAAGTGAATAATTTTAATAATGCCGGTTTATACTTAAACGAAGAAACATTATTTAAACCAAAGGTGTCCAACATATAAAATAAATGTATAATAAATAACAACTAGTCTCACCTAAACAATGTTTATCTACATGATATTTAGATCCATCATAATAACCAAGTGCAGCACATGTGGCTGTAAGTTCAGTGGAAAGATAATCTTGCATTATGATTTTATTTAATAATATAAATTATGAAATATATATTATCTTTCTACTAAATTATGAACATCTCTTCTATAATTAATGTTCAGATTATCTGTAAAAAGCAATACAATAGTACCATTAAGGTGACGCAGTGGCTTTATTCCACGAATAGCAAAAATATTGCTGAAGAATTATAATTGCATAATTAAATATGAATATCTTATGAATTAAAATTTGAAATTGAATATTCTGTGTTACAATCAGCTTCTATGAACCTAGTAAATTATATTTATATATTCCAAATTTCTTGTTCAATGTATCTCTAATAGCCTAACATTCCAAATGAAACAATGATTTCTACACTAGATAACCAAACATTACTACGCTATTAATTTGAGTTACACGAAAATCATCATAATCATATAATTTATATACACGTGTGCCCTAAAATCCGGCATGTATGACATTTCAGGTTAGCTTCACTTTGTCAACGAAGATAATGTAAAATAAAATATTAATATAACCATTGCTACTACTCACGTTTGTAGAACAACTGCAAATTGATGTGATGATTATTATTCAACACTATCACTCAAAATAATCAGCAGTTTCAATAAACACAAAAATATTTGCACGCCACAGGGACACAAAACGCAACAGGTAAAGAACGACGGTTAAATGTTTAGCGCGCTTTTACGAAATTGACCAATAGCGTGCTTTCGATTTCCGTTGACTCTTAACTCCATGTATCGTAATTTCACCATTTCTTTAACAATTATATAATTATCTTATTAACAAAAATCAGTAATTTGTATTTTGAAATAATAAACGTACAGTAAAATAAAACTGATTAAGGGATTTAAAAAATGGTTAAATAGTAAAACTATTTATAATATTACAACATTAATTGCTAGTCAAACGAAATAATGAAATATCAAATATACGTGTATGTACTACGTAGATAGGTATCATTTCTATTATAACTTTTAACTATTATAAGTATCTGATCAAGAAATAAACTATATCAGACTAATTAAATACATAAATAAATATTAATTAATTGTGATAAAAAAACACATTTAATTTCTTCTTATTACCTATGACTACTTAGGATTATATTTATTTTATTTATTTAATCCAATGATAAATATAGTTAGAATATGGTTATATACCAGAGGCTAAAACAATTTCAGAAATAACTGTTAATAACTGTTACAAAAATATTTCAATAGTAATAAAAATTAATAGTCATGTTCACAAATCTTCGATCTTTTATAACTATTACATAAAATTACGGTTCGTTGAAACTGCTCTGACAAATCGCAAATAATATAGTACTTCAATTCCTGACGAATAAAATATACTTAATAATATTCAAAACTTATAATTGACTTGTAAATTAATAAAAACAGAAAATAATATATAAATTTAATAGGAACTTACGAAATTTCAAATATATCACCGTTAATTTATTTCTACCTAAAAACGAACTCAAAATATTTACGAAGCAGATAATTATCAACAAAGTTTCTCTTCATTTCAAGATCTCAGACACGAATCTCATTGATGCGTCTGTACACATTTATTTTCAAAACCCTCGTACCCTTTTTTCTTAGAACTCGCTTCAAAGTAGCAATTTTAATGAGGAGTCTCCTCTCTTATGGAGCATTTAATTAATTACTTCGAAATGGACGCGCTTTGAACTCGTAAACGTCCGGGGGTACTTAAAACTTTCTGTGGATTCGTCAGAAAGCGAAAAATCCTCGTCGCGCTTCCGCGGAACGATCGACAAAAACGGCGGTGGAAAAAGGAGCAGGAAAAGAAGCGGGAAAAAAAGAAATACCAATCGCGAAATCGCAATCCGGTGGTCCTTCCGGAGAATTTGTTTTACCAACTTTGAAGCGTATCAAAAGCTTCGGTCAGAATTCGCCTTGTGGCTTTTTCTTCCTTCCACGTGGATGACATGAAAGAGAGGCGAGGGCTCCATTATTTCGCTATAATACCGAGACTCGCCGACCACGTCGAACAATCTGCGGTAGATATTGTCCACGAACGGGGAAAATAAAGCCATAAATTCAATTTCGCTGGCCGACTATACCGAAAAAGGGTGCAGGAAAGACGGTTCGAAGCCTCCGCGATGAGGACACTGCAAGAGGAAACCGATACGTGGGGTTGCGCAAGTTGGGAGGTGAAACAAAGACAGACAGATTATTAGAGGGATGGAAACACGAGGGTAGACGGATATCGTGTGTTAGGACAGAGAATAGAGTACCGAGGGGATCGTGTTTGACTGCTGTAGCACAAACATGCGGTGACTAATCAATATCATCGACCTTATCTGGGTCAATAGGTTACCAGTCGTTTATTTGCCACAGCTCATCAGCACTTATTTGTTCATTCCGTTACAGTTCGTCCTCGTCACCTTCCTTTGTGCTCATCCCGCGCATCCTACAAAATGCACACGCAATTTCCCGATACACAGTTGTCGATCTTTCGCTGCTCGCACTCGCATTTTCATTTTTCGACCAGATTGCACGTCCGTTTTCAATGTTTAGGTTAATAATATAAATCGTACGCGATTGCCTAGGCTGCAGGTATCGTGTCTAGGTTTTTCACGCAACGAAATACAAATCAGGATGGAATTTTGAGTTCCATGTTCGAGTATTTTATGGAATTATATTTTAATGTCGATATAATTCTATACCTTGTGTTTCTTTGTTACGATTGTCCTAATGGAGAATAGAAACCAAGTAATGAAACATATTCGAAATGTATATACATATGTATGTAATAATTTTTTAAATTTTTATTCATGTTTATTTTATTTGCAATGGTAGAAATTATTGTTCGCTTGAAAATATAAAATTATTATTATACTAGATATTATGTGTAATAATACTGCTATTGTATTGTTAGCTCCTGATTTTTCAATTTTGAACCTCTACTCTGAATTCCTAATTGATGAAAAGTCTTTTTGCATTTTCAGAAATAACACAGTCCAACAAATTTTCTAATATGTAATATTCGATAGGCGATTCTCGTAGAGTTTACTTTCCTAAACCATGAATCCGTAATCGAGTTTGCTTTATCACTTACAATTTTCGAAAAATGTGAGTTTTTCTAAAAATGCGTGATTTTTTGGCTAAAATGAAGAATTGTGTAAAATGTAAAATCTGGCGTGTTTCGAAGCCTAGTTTATAATTAAAATACTAATAAAGCAGATAATATACGAATATATTCCGAAATAAGAGAAAAATAATAGAAAAATATGCTACACGCAAGGAATATTTATATTCCCAGTTAATTAATTATTAGTTTAATTATTAATTAATTATTAGTTAAATTATATTATTATATACTCAAGTAACATTTAATTTCTTGTTCATTATACAGGAATAAGTTAAATTGGTAATATTCAATTTTATGTAGTCCCAACCTAACCTAACCTAACCAGAGCAACTATTTATTTACATACCTTCCGAAATTTCAGATAGTTACAGCTAATTCTTTTTGTAAAATTAAGGGGAGACTTGGAACTTTAAGATGTCATACGAATGAACACTGAATATTGCTAAATGGGTAACGAAAAGGCATAACGCAAATTAAAAACATTCAAATCGGTTTAACTAAAAAAGCATTTCAAACAAAAATTTAAAACCTTGCTGAATTTAAAGGTATACTATGTAAATTTCATTGTATCATTCACCGTTCAATTATAATGGACATAGCATTTATAAGAAAGGATAACTGTTTCACGTAATATGCAACTCGACTTCTTCAAACTCGCGTAGTGATGTTAAAAATGTGCAAATGTGAACAAAAATGGTACTACATCATGCTCCACGGTCCTAGTTAACTATTGGTAAACATTTATCTTTGAAACAAATTTTTTAAAATGATTTTTTGGCGCTTTTCGATGCACCGATGCCACAGTGCGTCGATGCGAAAGAGGTTATGTTCGGTGTATCGGTCTCTCGTGCAACGTTCTGCTTAAAACGCGTTTCAAGGCAATCGTGTTTCGTCTAAGCTTATTTCATTAAACCGAGGTAATAGCGCAGAACTCCATATTTGAACTTAAGAGATGTTCCACAGGCTACTTCGTAGTTTACTATGGAAAACTATAAGTCTGCCCGCCGTGCGAGTTGGCAGTTAAATGTCGTGTGCATAATCTACTCGTTAACTAGTTAATTTAGTTAAGTTCCGTAAGTTTCGCCGTGCGTAAACATAACTGTCTAGCAAACGAGTGAGTTGGAAGCGGGAAATTTAGTCAAGCCGAAATAAAGCGATTGTGTTTCGACGCCATGGGCTATAAGTGGCAGCAACTCTTTACGATTCCCAGCAGTATGGAAGCATCTGAATGTTCGTTACGTGAAACTTGTTAGACGCAAAATGGCTATTAATATGCGCTTAACTTCTGCAAATCCAACTACTTTTCATTCACTATAACGTGCCGGTGGAAACTTTGATATTAATCTCGTCTAATAAGCGAAACGCACGAAGGATGCTGGAATCCTATCTCTTGTTACATTAAACGCGTTAAAATTGTTAAAATGGTAAAAGAAGTCTGTAATTTCATTAATTAAAATTTCTAATTTTCTCGTAACTTAAATTATATTTTTAATTTCCAAGTTATTTATATTCTTTACATAGCGTTATTTCATTTTTATTTTTATTTCTTTTTTTCGGAAATTTAAGCGAATTAAAAATATTAGAGGGAGAATGTAACTTGGTTAATCCAGATCTACAATTTTCTTGCAACTTAAATGAAACCATTAATTTTTTAATTAGATCTTTTTTTTTTATTTCTTTCTAGATAATAGTCTGTTTCTTATATAGTAGATAATACAGAGATCATATCTAGATAATATTTATTTCCTTGCAATGTTTATATCTTTAAATTTAATAAATTTGTAAAATATTTCTTGGATTAAAAATCTCTTTTCATCTTTTTCAAATTTTTCCTTTTATACCACAAATATCTTTATGAATTTTGTACTGGGAAATTCAATTATTTAAGTTAA